AATGTCAGAAAATATATACATATATCTGAGCACATGTTCAGGTATATATATATTCTGTATAAGACTGTATGAAGATGATGAAAAATAAGGAAGGACATATAAATTGTTGGCAGGACCTGTCTGAGGCTGAGTTGAGCATGGCTGATGTAAATGGTTAAAGAAATGAGCACTGGAAGCAGTAATTTTTATTTCTATATTGAGTAGAAAAAAATGAAATTCAAGTTAAAACTAAAAAGAGATACTTCTTTGACCTTTTAGATTAACAAAGATCGGGATATTTGAAAATACATCTGTTATAGAGTTTGGGAAAATAAACACTCTTTTCTTAAAAAATTTTTATTTAATTTTTTTGGGGGGAGGTAATTAGTTTTACTAATTTATTTATTCTTAGAAGAGGTACTGGGGGTTGAACCCAGAACCTTGTGTATGCTAAGCATGCACTCTACCGCTTGAGCTACACCCTCCCCCCTGAAATAAACACTCTTATATGCTAATACTGTGAGTCAAATTTGACACATCCTCTATAATTCTATGAAAAGCATTTCACAATAACTATCAAAATATATAATGAATATATTCTTTTACCTAGCAGATTTGCTTGTAGGAGTTTATCTTACAGATTTACTCATACATGTGTAAAATGTAGAAGAATATTAATGTCAACAATGATAGTATCAGCAAATGACTAGAAATAAGCTAAATGAACAACAATGGAGGATTAATTATATGAGTCATGACACACTCATGCAATACAATACTTTGCAGCTATTCAGCAGAATAAGGCATTTCCATTTGCTCTGGAGTAATTGTCAAAATATATTGTTAAATAGGAAATGTAAGGTACAGGAAAATGTATATAGATTTCTGACATTTATGTTTTAAAGGAAGAGTGTGTGTAGTTTACATGCATAAATCACCTCTGGAAACAGACACATTAGAGATAGTGGGTTGTCTCTAGATAGGGCGATGGAATGGCTGAGAGTTTGAATTGAACCGATTCCCATTTGTTTCTTTTGAATTTTGTACCTTATGTCTGTGTTAATTATTTAAACTAAAATACTTAAAAAACTATTCTTGTTGAATTATACAGAAAGAACAAACATAAGTTTCAGGGAGACTCTATTACATTAGTAAATTGACATGATCATCTAATATTTCTGTGTAATTTCTATTTATAAAATTTATTCCTCACTACAAAACTTAGAACATTTCATGAAAAAAAAGCTCATTTATTTCAAAAAATACCTTGGAAGCCATTTGAAGTTAAAAGCATTCTTTGAATCAGAACTAAAATAGAAAAGACTACCAGTATATTGAAATGATTAAAAGAAGTGTAATAATGGATTTCCTGGCGTTCACAGGAGTATGTGCTTGGTTGGACGATTTTAACTGAGACTGAAGTAGAAAAAGATGTAATTCTAAAAGCTGGTGTTTAGCCTCAGCTTTCTCTCACTAAGCCAGAAAACCCATGGAATTAGCCCCTCGGTATCCACAAATAAATGGCAAAACAAACACATTTGGTAAAGATTTTAGTGTAAAACATTTTAGTGAAAGAAGTAAAGGTTTTTGTTATAAAATTATGAGTTGCTTTCTGAAATGCAGCTTGATGTCTAAAATTCCATAATTCTCCGGTTAATACTCTCTGTTTTATTTTTCTTCTCTTTACATTGTATTTAGATTCGAGACAATCATAGTTTGTATATATTAATTTTCTAATAAGATGATAAATATGCACCTCTCAGGACTATTTATATAAATTACATTTACTAATTTGATATTTAACATTGTATTACCAAACATCCTTTGAAATGCCAACTAAATTTTAAGGTTTTTCACTTCTAAATTCTTAATGATTAAAATTTCCAACATTAATAAACTGTGTTTCTTCTTTATTGAAAAATAGTTGATTTACAATGTTCTGTTAGTTTCTGGTGCACAGCATAGTAAATCAGTTATATATATATATATTTATATTCTTTTTCAAATTCTTTTCTTTTATAGGTAATTACAAGCTATTGAATATAGTTCCCTGTACAATGCAGTAGGACTTTGTTGTTTATCTATTCTGTACATAGCAGTTTGTATCTGCTAGTCCAAAACTCCTAATTTATCCTTCCACTGCCCTTTCCCCTTTGGTAACCATAAGCTTGTTTTCTATGTCTGTGAGTCTGTGTCTGTTTTGTAAATAAGTTTATTTGTATCAATTTTTCTAGATTCCACATTTAAGTGATATGTGATATTTGTCTTTCTCTGTCTGATTTACTTCACTTAGTATGATAATCTCTATGTTCATCCATGTTGCTGCAAATGACATTATTTTATTCTTTTT